CCCCCTTTTCTGATGAAGGGTCTAGGCCCGAAACGTCAGCCTCTCTGCTCCTATGATGCTGCTTGGCCTGCTGTGTTCATCCAGCCCTGCACCTTGTTGTCTCTGCTATAGGAGGAAGTTGGCTTTCCCATTCCATGAATTGCTGAGTAAATCAGAGAATGCTGAAGGAGTGGTTGGTAAGGGACGTATGAGGAGTCATACTTGCACTCTCTCAAAAGAAACTTATCTCATCTCCCGTTGTTTGCTACCCAGATTTCCAACTCCCATTCATACTGGAAACCAATGCCAGTTTTCTTGGCATAGGAATGGTGCAGTCACTGGTTGATGTGTAGAAAAGAATAGTGATCACTTTTGCCAATTAAAGTCTCAAGTGAAATGAGAGGAATTGCAGAGAATTACTCCAGTGCAACACTGGAACTGTTAGCTTTGAGGTGAGCTATTCCCCAGAAGGTCAGAGACATACTGTATGGTGCAGAGCTTGAAGTGTTTACTGACAACAACCCATTCAGCTATTTTCAAATTTCGGAAAAGCACATCAGAAAAAAGCAATACTAATGCTGTTGTCCTTAGTTGTAAGACTAACCACAATCCAGCTCTACACCTTGTTATCTCAGATTCTCCAGCATCTGCAGTACCTACTGTCTCTGATACAATTTTAACCCCAGCGCGAAGCCTCTTCTAAGGATGCCTAGCCTGAAGAAGTTACCCTCCTCCCTCCGGACAAACTCCAGGGGATCTCTCTCCCACTGCCTCTCTACCTATCTTCTCCTCTAACCATCTTCTAAGCACCTCCCCCTCTCTCCCTATTTATTTCAGAACCCCCTTCCCCTCCCCCATTTCTGATGAAGGGTCTAGGCCCGAAACGTCAGCCTTAGTCTCCTATGATGCTGCTTGGCCTGCTGTGTTCATCCAGCTCTACACCTTGTTATATCAGGGATTCTACCCCTTCCTGGTTGAAGGGGGCTGTGACTGATACCAGGCCATTCTAATGCCCTGGGTCAAAGGCAGCAGTCTGACCCTGATTCTCAATTACATTTAGACTGAGATTCAGTGGAGTCTTACTGATGCACTGTAAGTGAGACATGTGGATCAGGTTTGGTTTCACCTTCACGATCTATCTTGAAAGAGGATCTCAAACAGCTTGAGCTGGATTAACATGGTCATTAGTAGTCTGCAACATTACCAGAAGGCCAAACATCCACCATCCCAGTGCCAGCTGATGAGGGATTTCAAACCAGCACTGTTACCATTGAAGTGCTGAAAGGGGACCAGGAAGAAGCATGGAGTTGTCTATTGGCTGGTTCATGACAGGGATAGCAACGCGAAGCAAGTCATCCATCATGACAGTCGTGAGTGTCAAGTGCTGTTAGCAATTCATGATCAAGCAGCACTCCAAGCGATGGAAAGGATGACTGCCCTGATCAGACAGTGGTGTTACTAACCCTGGATGCCTGCTGATATTGATGACTACTGTTGAAATTGTGAGAGATGTACTTTGGCCAAAGCAGGGAAACAACTTCACCTAATCATGGGATCCCTATTCACTGAAAGACTTCCAGAGTATGGGACAAAATGGGACCCAACATATTCTTGTACTCAAAGATGTCTTTGCCAAGTTCAGACAGGTCATTTCCACTAATGACCAAAATGCCTTAGTTATAGGCAAAGTGTTAGTACATGTTTGGTTTGTTCATTTCCATGTTCTGCATCAGATTCATAGTAATCGGTGGCACAATTTTGAGTGTAAGATCCTGGAGGAACTTTGCAAGGCATGAATTTGCCCAGAGCCAACCACTCCCATTATCAAGAGGATAGTGAACAGTGCGAATGATACAAGCGCAATCTTCATGATCACCTGTAAATCGAAGTGATCTGAGTACCGTCCAGAGTTAGTTTATGCTTAAAATAGCATCCTACTTTGCACAGTCACTCATGGGCACTTCTCCACAATTGCCCTTTATTTGGATGAAAACCAGTCCTTCCTGTGGACCATCTCCTTGTTCTCACTATACCTTCTGATGAAGATAGCCAGGTCATTGAGTGGTTAGCGAAGCACCACACTTAACTGAGGTTCATGATAGTGTCTGAGAGGACTGAGAGTGAGAGCTGAGAAGAGAAAACCATTGAAGAAAGAGAAGAAAAAAAGCAATTGCAAAATGACAAGTCTGGCCTTCCAACTTTGAATGTATTCCTCTGAAACTGGAATATCATGGGTTGGAATAAGAACCCCATAGAGTCATCATTTGGCTCATCACACGGGGCCACACTATGCTGTTGGACATAACAGCGGAAAGGAAACCACAGAAAGTAGTTCACAGAGGAGTTGCTTGAGGCCACAAGTCTAGTGGATGACATGGAGACAAATAGCTCACTCAGCAGTATGGCAGAGCCTGAAATGTTGGTGCAAGATGGCTTGAATGAAGTGAAGTCAGATAGTGATTAGGAATCTTGGACTGACTTTGTATTGTGAATTCACAAAGTTTATCCAGTATAGGAGCTCTACTCCCACCCTTGACCTAGGCTTCATGCGTCCCCACGGCAAAACATCATCCCTGCATCCTGTCTTGTCAGAATTTTATAAGTTTTCAGAGGTCCCCTGTCACTCTTCTAAACTCAATGGATACAGGCCCAGTCAACCCAATTTTTCCTCATATGACAAGCCTGCTTTCCCAGAAATCAGACTGGTGAACCTTCACTGAATTCCCTCTGTGGTAAATGTATCTTTTCTTAGGTAAAGAGACCAAAACTGCACACAATACTCTAAGTGTGGTCTCAACCAAGGTCCTGTACAGCAGCACCAAGACTTCATTGCTCCTGTGCTCCAATCCTCGTCCAATGAAGGCCAAAATATCATTTGCCTTTCTAACTGCTGTCTGCATTTGTATGCTTGCTTTCAGTATCTGATGCACAAGGACATTCAAGATCCCTTTGTATATCAACATTTCCGAATCTATCACCACTTAAGTAATACTCTGCTACTCTTTTCTTCCTACTAAAGTGGACTATCTCACACTTAGCCATATTATACTGCATCTGCCATGCTTTTGCCCACTTACACAACTTGTCCAAATCACCTTGAATTTTCCTCACCACTCACAATCCCATCTAATTTTGTGTCATCAGCAAACTTGGAAATATTGCATTTGATACCCTCATCCAAATTGTTAATATATACTATGAATAGCTGGGATCTGAGCTCTGATCCCACGGTCACTCACTTATCATTCACTTACCTTTAATTCTGAAAAAGACGCATTTATTTCTACTCTCTGTTTCCTTGGCTGACTAATTCTCAATCCATGCCAGCATATTACCACAAATCCAATGTGTTTTGATTTTTCACAGTAACCTCTTATCAAAAGTTTTCTGAAAATTCAAATGCTAGTGTGTATATGTTTCTTACAATTTTCTTTTCATTCTCTATTTTACCTCTCTTAATCAATCTCTTGGTCCTCTTTGCAGATTTCTAAACTACTCCTAACCCTCAGGCTTGCTACATTTCTGAGCAGCTGTTTATGATTCATCTTTGGACCTACTACTCCCCTTAATTTATTTTATTGGCTGTGACTGGGCTGCTTTTTCTGTTGTGTTCTTTTACCTGAAAGGAATGTATATTTGTTACAATGCTTGCATTAGTTCCTTAAATATTAGCCATTACTCCTCTATTGTCATGCTCTTTAATGAAGTTTACAGAATCACAGAGGTGTTACAGTGTAGAAGGAGGCCACTTGGCCCATTGTGCCTGCACATCTAATTGAATGAACCTATCACAGCTGGCCTAGTCTTTACAACTTTGCAGCTTCCTTTGTTTAAATTTAAGACCTTAATTCCAGATTGAACTACTTCAATTTCTATCAAAATGAAGAATTCTATCGTGTTGTGGTCACTGACTTCTTACAGATCTGTCATAGCAGGTTATTAATAACTCATGCTCATTGCACAAACTAAGTCTCGGGTAGCCTGTTCTCTAGTTTTCAACATACTATCTCATGCACGCTTTAGGAATTCATTCTTCACAGTATTATTAGTAACCTCGTTTGCCCAGTCTATGTGTAAAGTCACCCATGATTACTGAGGCACCCTTGTTGCATGCATCTCTAACTTTCTGTGCCAATATCCTTTCTAACTATTATATGGATTTTATCATTCACTAACAACTCCACCCCAGCTCCTTTTTACCCATCCTTCCTAAGGATTGAATACTCTTGGATGTTTAGTTCCCAGCCTTGGTTACCCTGCAGCCGTGTCTCTGTAATTACAATTATACCTGTTTAGAACTATTTGTGCTGTTAGTGCATCAACCTTATTGTGCATTTACATATAGTACCATTAGAGGTGATACAATGTGAAAGTGAGAAACAATGAACAAATGCTTCGTCACAAAGTGTTAACTTATCAACACTTTATTATTATCCCCTCTTTCTATCTCTTGGGTAATGCTTATTGTGTATATATGTTTTGTAAAAGTTTAACTGAAACTCATTAACTAACTTTGAAGACAGTTGTCCTAAACTTGTAGCTCATATTTTCAAAGACCCTTGCTGAAACCATACTAATTTTCTCAAATTAGGTCTGAATGAATGTGGTTTATTGTTAGCTACGATTAGAAGAATTGTCACTTTGAAAAATATTATCTCCATAATTTTTTCCAAACGACCATTATCCTACTGCTGTTTTAAAGTTTTAAAATTTCACTGCCTTTCTAATGAATAATAGAGTATATTTTACTCTATTTACTCAACAGGATAATGATGTGCAGATTCTCTTCCTTTCTTTCCAGTTTTAACAATAAAAGACCAACTCTAAGACAATGAGCAGTTCACAGCCAAATACCATAGACTGATTACTGTTCTTGCCATTGATCCTAGCGGTGCATAACCTTGAGCTACATTATGGGTTCAGGACTGATCTAAATTGAGGTTATTTATTTTAGATTGTGCTATTCTATATCTTTAAAGGTAAATGGAAAATCAGATAAGAGCTTTTTATTTTGAAGTGATTTAATTTTAATTCTTTTTCTTACTAATTAATATTTAATTATTTTTCTTACATGATAGCTGCATGTTTTATGTGTATGACACAGTGCATGAGAGAGAAAAGGAATTTAAGTAATAACAAAATGTAATTGATCTCGTAGTACAAAGGAAATTATTCATGATGTTCAAAATTATTATTTTGCACATATGATAAATAATATATGATGACATTCACAATTATTTATACTTAGAGAGATCTTTTACAAAACATTAGAAGCAAAAATGATAGGTCACATTTTTTACCTTAAAAAACACAATTATCACAACTTTCTTGAGGCCCAAAAATAGTTACAGCAGACTGTGATGTGAAATTTATTGTGTTCAGTTCTGCAGCTGTAGGCATAATTTACCACTCTGGGGTCATCTCTTGAGTGCTGGCTCAAGGCGGTCACAGAATGACTGTAGGGCATTCTGAAGGGAGAGATGAAGAGCCAGAGGTCATGGTCCATGTTGAAACCAAGTACAATAAGTCCTACAAGCAGACTTTAGGGAGTTAAGTAGGAAATTGAAAAACAAAACTTCATAGGTAATAATCTCCATATTATTCCTCGTGCCATGCAGCAGTGAGTGTAGGAATAGCAGGATATCTGGATGAATGGAAGGCAGGAGAGATAGATTCTTAAACCATTGGGAACATTTCTGAGGGAGTGGGACTTGTAAAAATTGGACAGTTTACACATGAACAGGAACAGGATGAACAATCCTCATGGAAAGATTGCTAATATTGTTAGTGTGGATTTAAATTAAATTGGCAAGGGATGGGATCCTGACAAGTAGATCAGAAAGGAGGGAAGAGAGATGGAACGAGAAATTAAAACACGAGTGAGTCTGGAATGCAGAGGAAACATTGGCTAGATAAGAAAGTAAGTGAGATTAGCAAGGCTAAATGGAACATATTTTAATGCAAAGATCCTGAGGAATAAGCTGGATGAACCAAGGGCACAGATAGGTATGTGGGGGTACGATATCACAGTTATGACTGAGACTTGGCTGAAAGATGGACAGGATTAGCAGTTTAACATTCTTGGTTATAAGTTATTCAGAAAAGATTGAGAAGGGGATGGAAAAGGAGGGGATGTTGCAGTATTGATCAAGGATTTATAGCAGCAAGGACGGATGATATCTTGGAAGGGTAATCAAATGAGGCCGTATAAATAGAAGTAAATATAATATTAATGTAAATTGGCGTTAATGGTAGATGTGCGTAGTAGAAAATAGGTAAGCTTTGCTGAGGGCAAACCCATGCAATCAAGACACTGGAGGGGCAGGAGAAGGGGTGTAATATGTTTCTTTCCTCTACCACCATTATTGTCCTGATCCTGTTTTGCTCTGAGCACCATCTGTTCCACCCACTCTCCTCTCACTTTGTGAACAGCATCAAAACCATTATTTTCCAGTCCCCTTCCTTTCTGAAGAAGAATCTTATTGGACTCAAAATGTTAATTCTGTTTCTGTTTCCACAGATGCTGCCAAACCTGCTATGTTTCTCCAGCACTGTCTGTTTTTAATATCAAATTTAATATAGTGTGTAAGACTTCTCTAGTCATATGCTCATTCTAGACCAAACTTTTCTCTCTCACTGATGTCAGAGACATATATCCAATTAAATCATGATTTACATGAATCTCATTTCGTCACATCACTCCTGACACCTTTTTCCTTGATTTCTCCCTGTTTCTTTACCTATTCCAATGTTAAATGTTACTTGGATTCAAGGAAATCTGATAACTTACCATCCCTCGTACCAACCTGTATGTATTTGGTCTTGCCTCAACTTGCTGCAGGGCAGCTGCATCTATTGAGGTGGGGCTCATATTAGAGAAGGCAGTCCCAAGTGGCCTTGTCATCCTTCCAAAGAACTACCAAAATGCCAAAAGAGTAGGAGTCAACATCATTGATTAAGTTAATATGTTGAAGAGTGTGATTAGCACCACCCACAGTCATAATGTTGCATGGACATATATAGTCAGTTTGAGACAGTTCTTAGAGAGACATAGAAGGCTTAATTAGCAGCACCGATAGAAGTACTTACCTAACCTTCACAATGTTTGCAGCAATGCAATAAACATCTTATTGTTAATGTTACACAACTCTTGTGATCTCATTAGTCAGATCAAGCAGGTGGATTGCTCCCATATACAACAAACCACAACATGGTGTAAGTGATGGGATACTGGCAGTGATGATAGCAACAGGTCTTCATGTAAACCGAATTTGCTGAGAATGTGCTGAATGTCAAACTCAAAAAGAAAGAAAATAAAATGCAACAGAATGAAATGAAACACAAGCTTGATCCGAAGAAGAGGTGAAGAAGAGCTTAAAGATCTCCAAGGCACAGGTACAGTCTGCATTGTGTAAAGTGCTGGTCTGTAAATAGGCTCTGAGGTCAGTTTTGAACTAGTGAGTCAAATGGCAATCAAGAATTGGTCAGAAAAATCCTAGAGTAAACAAAAACTCAAATAACAGCAAAGTAAAATCAGGCTGCAAATGAAGTAGTCTTAAAAATATTGTAGCTTCAATTGGGTATCATTGCCATTATGAGCTGGAACCATAAGCAGGAACTTGGGATATAGACAAAAAATCCAAAAAAGTTGGAAAGCTGATTTAAGCATTTTTGTGATTCCAGAAAGTAAATTCAGGCCGAGCAGAATTATCTTTTTTGCTGCGGTAAAGAGACTACAGTGGGAGTCATAGTGAGGCTGAGAATTGTGGGAAAACCAGCATACTGCAAAAGAGAGAAAAATGCCACTACTACAAGTTAAGTTTAAAGAAAATAAAAAATGCAAAGTAGAAGACCTAGCAACTATAGCAAGATATGGCATCCCAATTCTTAATGTCAGGAAGATTTAACCAGAGATATGGACTAAATAAGCCACTGAATATGAGAACATATAATTATATTAAGAGCAAGAGAATTACCAGGGAAAGAATGGGGCCTAATAGAGACCGAAGGGGCAATCTGTGTGTGGAGCCAGAGGACATGCATATGATTTTAAATGGACATTTCTCATCTGTATTTACAAAGGAAAAGGACATTGTAGCTGGAGATTTCAGTTGGACTGTCGAAGTTCTGGAGCGGGTTAAGATTCATAAGAAGGAAGTATCTGATGTTTTATTGTGCTTAAAGGTGCATAAATCCCCAGGGCATGATGAGATGTATCCAAGGCTGCTGTCGGAAGGAGAGGAGGAGATTGCTTGGACTCTGGAGGAGATATTTAATACTTTGCTGGCCACAGGTGAAGTGCCAGATGACTGGAGGATAGCTAATGTAGTTCCGTTGTTCAAGAAGGGCAGCAGGGATAGGCCATGTAATTACAGACTGCTTAGTTTGATGTCAGTTCTAGGGAATTAATTGTAAAAAATTCTGAAGGACAGGATTAATCAACACTTGCAAAGGTAGGTTTTGATCAGGATAGTTAGCATGGATTTGCTAGAGGGAGATCCTGTCTGTCTAATTGAGTTTTTTGCAAAGATGACTAAATATATTGATGAGGGTAGCGCACTTGATGTGATTTACATGGATTTCAGTAAAGTCCTTGACAATGTCCCACATAGAAGGCTGGTCTGAAAGGTAACAGCCCATGGGATCCAAGCCAAGTAGGCAAACTGGATCCAAAATTGGCTTGTAAATAGAAGGCAGAGTAGTGGTGAAGGTTGTTTTTGTGATTGGAAGCCTGTGAACCAGCAGTGTACCACAGGACCCTTGCTGTTTTTTATGTACATTAATGACTTGGATGTGAATGTGGATGTATAATTAGTAACTTTGCAGATGACACAAATATTGGTGGCATTGTTGATAGTGAGGAGGATGGTTTCAGGCTGCATACTGATATTGATCAGCTGGTAATTTGAGCAGAGCAATGGCAGATGGAATTTAATCTTGATAAGCATGAAATGATGCATTTTGGAGGTCTAAGAAGGGAAGGATTTGCAGAGTAAATGGTAAGTCCCTAGTGACTACGGAGGAACAAGTCCGTAGATCCCTGAGAGTGTCAGTATAGTTAGATAGGGTGGTGAAGAAGGCATATGGGATGCTTGCCTTCAGAAGATGGGCCATAGAGTACAGGAGCAGGGAAATCTTTTTGTAATTTTACAGAGCATTGGTTAGGTCACAGATGGAATACTGTGTGCACATCTGGTCACCACACTACTGGAAGGATGTGATTGCACTGGAGATGGTACAGAGGAGATACCCAAGATGTTACCTGGCATGGGAAGTCTCAGTTATTGAAGTGTACAAAATTATGAGAGGTATAAACAGAATAGATTGTGAGAATGTTTTCCCTATGGCAGATGTGTCTAAGACCAATGGGCATAGGTTTAAGGTGAGGAGTAAGTAGTTTAGAGGGGATCTGAAGAAAATTCCAGAGGGTGATAAAACTATGGAACGTGTTGCCTGAAATGGTGCTGTAGGCAGGTACTCTTGCAACATTTAAGAAACATCTGGACAAGCTCTGAAAATCCCAGGGCATAATACACTATAGACAAAGTGCAGTACATGGGATTAGTATAGTTTGATATGTGTTGATCAGCATTGACATGGTGGGCCAAAGAGCCTGTTTCTATGCTGTATGACACTATGACAGGCAGGAGACAATTTTTAAGATACAAAATTGTTTCAAAATTAGATAGCAATACTGAAGTAGAACTCTTCTTTAAGCAATTAATGGACAGAAAATAGGAAGTATTAGATCATGTTTGTAGGAGATATGATCAGTAAGTTCATAGATGAAATGAAAATTGATGGTATGGTACGTAATGAGGAGGAAAACCTTAGACTTGTCAGATGGGCTGAACAGTGGCAAATGGAACTTAATCCTGAACAGTGTGATGTGATGCATTTTGGAAGGACAACAAGGCAAGGGAATACATATTGAACAGTAGGATCTAGCAAATAAAGAGGATCAGAGAAACCTCGCATGTTCATAGATCCTTGAAGGCAGCAAAACTGGTGATTAGGATGGCATATGGGATATTTGCCTTCATTAGTCAAGGCACTGAATACAAGATCAAGGAGTTTATGGTGGAGCTGCATATTATAGTAGTTGGTCCTTAGCAGGAATACTGTATGCAATTCTGGTCACCAAAAGTTTGGAAGGAAGTGATTGCATGACAGAGTGTACAAAATAGGGAGGTGGTAGCAGAGTGGACTAGTAATTAAGAACCCCAGGTTATTTGTCCTGGAGACATGGGTTCAAATGTCTTAGCACATTATAATTCTTCATTACTGACTTTCATAGCAGAGGAAGCTCCAGCTACAGGCTTATGAGCAGTATATTTTCAAGAACAGCCAGATGGTTACCGAAGATCAAGGCATTATGCATGCATTGTGAACACTGTCAGGTAAAAAGATAAGATTACAAACATTGTCAATGAAACTCTCTTAATTTCATTTGCATATAATAACTTCACAGAGTACATAATTAGTATGAAAGCGGTTATAGAGACAGACCTCAAATCCTTAGTTTCATTACTTGATGAGAAGGAATTTGTAAGAATCCTTTCAAAACACCAAGGTTTCAATGGATATTGATGAGATTTGCTTATGAAATGGTTTATGTATGAGGTAAAGTGCAAACAACATCAGATGCACCCTGTAGAACAACTATTTATAGTCGTACACGGTGAGATGTTAATTTTATCAAAAAAAAAAGCTTATTATGGCACAATGCCCATCATGTCAGAATAGACTCAAACAAATTTGTCAGATGCAGGATTAGGAATGCATCAAAATCCACCAAAAATGTATAGAGAGTTGGCATACCAATGGTCTCTTTGTATGGTTATGAGAGAGTACTATGAACATAGAATGCACTTTATTGTTGTTGGTAAGATATTACCCCATGATTATTTATTCCAGATTCGCTCAGAGAAGATGTTTAAGAATAGCTTCATCAAGGTCACTTGGGCATCACAGATCCAGAAGAAGCTATCAACCATCAATGTGGTGAAGTTCAAAGAATATGGAAGACATGATTTCAAATTACCAAATATGTGAAAATAAACCAACAATAACAGAGAGAGCCATTCATATCTACTAAATGTAGCCATCTAGGCCATGGGAAAGATTAGGAATTAATCTACTTGTCTTCGATGATCAGTGTCATCAACTACTTATCAAAATAGATTAAAGTTAAAAAAGTTGTATACTATGACTACAGAAACAGTCCTTAGAGTATTGAAAGAGATTTTTGCAATTCATGGAATTTTATATAAAGTTGTTTCTGATAGTAGATCACAATTTGCAAAAGAATACTTCAAGCACTTTGCAAAAAGTAATGGATCTGAGTACATTACAAGTTCACCAAAATATTAACAATCCAATGGTGAAGCTGAATGAGGAATCAGAATTATTGAAAAAGATTTCCAAACAGCACTTTTGAATTACAGATCCATCATAATATAAATGAGGACTTTCCGAATTATCAATGAGAATAAAACTAAAAATTCAACTTCCTATAATACCAAAGCAATTATTTTCAAGATCACAACTCAAGTTATATCGGGGAATCCAAGACAAAGAATCCAGAAAGCAACAAGCTAAGAATTACAACCAAAGATATCATACTGAGAATTTGCCAAAATTATGGGAAGGTCAAAAGATATGGATACACAATCAAAGCAGAGAAGCATTTGTTGTTCAGAATGATAGAAATCAGTAAAGATCTATGTAATTCGTACAGCAGAAGATACAATGAGATGAAACAGCTTGAATGTTATTCCAGTACATCAGAGACATTCATCAGTTACAAATTGGGATGGACCAGAAGTTGAACTTAAAGTTTGATAGGGACAGGAAAGCTCCAACCTTCAGGAAGACTGTCCAAGTGAAGAACCAAGCAGTACCAGAGAGTACAAGTGTGTCTATAAGTCAGGAGGAAACATGATCTTGGGAAAGTTACGAAGCCTCCAAACCAACTAAATTTGTGAAGTCAGAGACATTGAAGGGGAAATGGAATAGTATGTAGATGTAAATATAAAAAGATCAATGTGTAAAGGAGAGTATGAATTATAATCACTGACACCATTAGTGTAGAGACATGGGAGGCTTCTCTCATGGCCGTCATCACCCTTGTAACCTGTACATAGTTGACATAAATGCAATAAACATATTATTGTTTATTCATCTCTTGAAAACTCTACCAGTTAGACCAAAAGATAAATTGATCCCATCTGTATCAACACTGCTCACCTAACACTTGTTAATTGTTTCTTAGGATAATTGAAGATTTTTTGGAAAGAATGTCCAAGATGACACAAATCTCAACTTTAGAATAACATCAACCTTTTGATGAACATTCAAGAATTCAATATATCACCAGCCATATTAGCCTGCCTTATTCCAGCAGTCTATTGATAATAAGCCAGCCAATTTGATTCAGCCATGAATCAGATGTGTTATTTCTGTTGAAGGTCACTATTTAGATATTTTTAATCTACCTGTTCAGATGTGTTGTGATGTACTTCTGGAGCAGGTGGTACTTGAAACCATGGCTCCTGGCTCAGAGGTAGGAACACTACCACAAGAGTCCCAATGGTGACTATAGATCTTTAGGTAATTTACAAGCCAATGTGGTAATGAATATGGTTGTGACTTAGCACCTTCAATACCTCTGTTCACAACAGGAGTTCCCAAAGCCTTGAGTCTGCCAGCTTGGGCTCTTTTTGAACTTGGGTAGATGGGACATACCTCAAAGGGTGTAAGTGTGTATTTCATGTTGACCAAACAAACTTTACCTGCATACATTTTTCAGGAACTCAGTTGACAGGCTTTAAAGTATGGGGATGGAATTCTGTGCTAGCAAATCATTTGTCTGCCTACAAATAATGTGGGATATAAATGTTAAATTTCAAATTCATTTGGTGTCAAAAATAAAGTAGATGTAAGTTCTCTCTGTTGTCTTTGAATTTTTAAAAAAATATAACCCACTAAACTAAACTGGCAATGATTTGTGACTTTCTGCATATGTATCTAAAGAACAACTTATTGCTTTGAATCCTTGGGCTAACAGAACATAGGAATATTTCCATTATTGAGTCATATTCACTGTAAATCTATTTTACCACACTACGAAATAGTTGCATTTGTTTATAGACAGCATGAATTGAATTCAGCCATTAGCCTATAGACGTTCAATATCTTCAGTATCAAAACTAGCTGTAGCTACTATTGTAGCTTCTATTGTATAATTGGAAATAATGAATTATCTGCTTTTACCATAACTTCCTCTTGGCTGGTGAACTCCAGATACATCCTTGCCAGATTTTGTTTCCCTAAATACTTGAACATGAGACAATCTCTCTGGACAAGTTTTTCACATGCTGGTTAATAAGGAGGTGGGGATATTGTCAGATGATTCAGCATAGCCTTGAACTGCAGACATTGGTAAATTTAAAAATTGGGTGAATTCAACTTGTTTTCTTTTGGAGTTCAGAAAATTAGGTTTAAGTGGTTATTTAAAACATTGTGCTAAATCATCACAAGATGGCACTCTAACATTAAGAAACATTTTCCTGCAGGTTGACAAACTTTAGAACTATTTGAGTATACACTTAAAAAAGAATCAGGAATTTTGATTGTTACCAGCTGTATGTTGGACTTGGGTGCCTTTTTGTTTGAGCAGTAGGAATATGTGGAAGTGGGATCCCCTGTGGCGCTTTGGTCACAGTCACAACCCTGCTTGTGACTCTAAACAACCTGTTTCCTATTGATTGCTTATTTTTTCATTACAACGATTGACTGTATCAGTTCCCTTTACCGGGTTGTTTCTGTTCATGTAATTGCTTGTGGCTCTGAAGCCTACCTAATTCTCAGAAATGACATTGCTGCAAGTAATATGGAACATTTTAGATTCTAGATAATGCTCCTGTATCAGAAACAGATCATAAACCTCTTACAGTAATTCCATTTAATTCATTATCCTTTGTTTAGTCAGAAAACTTTAGGATACTGCTAAACAGAGAGAAAGTGGAATGTTTTGGAATTAAATTATTTTTGACAGAGTTCAAATATTATGTGCTTGGTCACCAATCAATTCAAGAACCGGTGCCTGGTCAGTGCTAGACCACTAGCAACGGTGTGAACAAACTAAAAGGCAAGCAACATACTTCACTCTTTAATTTTTGTGGCCAGATTTGAATTGTAGTCTGACATTTTTAACTAAGTTACTGAGTTTTGCTCATGGGATCAATCTTTTCCTGGTAGTAAATAGAACTAAGGCCTAATAACTACTAGTGCAACAACTCAGACTTAGCTATTTTGTTTTGGTTTATACAGCAAATTCAGTCTTTCCAGCTGAAATAAAGAAGTAAAGCCACAAAGAATGTACATTTAATCAGAAAATTGCCACTTGTCTCTGATTATTGAGAAACAGCATTACTTAGAAAAAAAAGTTAAAGAGAATCTCTCATTATGTGGTTTGTAAACATAAGGGAATATTTTCCTCTGTATTCAATTTTTAGTCCTGTGTGCTAAAGTGTACTCACATAAATTCCTGTCTGCACTATTTTAGTTACATTGTTTAAAATAAGTGGGTTAATTACTATGTTAAAATAGCCATCAGTTCTTATCATAAACATGAAGCAGTGCAGGGAAAAGAGCAGAACTAAAAATAGACCCACTCATCCTCTGGATGAACTATCTGATCAAACTCACTACTCTGTGCTTACTACTTAATATAAATGCACTTCATTTTATTTGTATTGAGTAACTTGCAAATACTACCTTCAAAATAAATAAGAGCACACCAACAACATGCATTATATTTTAATGCAGCACAAATGGCCCAGATCTTCAGGTCAGCATCAATGCTGTTTGTGACGATAGTAACAACCCTTTTCTGTCCTTGCAGCTGGGTCTTCAAGTTTCAACTACATCAACAATGCTTTTCCTGTAGGGGTGTGATCAAGAAGTTTGTAGGTGATGCAAAAATTGGTACGATGGTAAATAGTGAGGAGGATAGCCAAAAACTGCAGGTTGATAATTAATGGACAGGTCAGGTGCACAGAACAGTGGTAAGTGGAATTCAATCCAGAAAGGTGTAAGTTCATTTGAAGTAGTTTAACAAGACAAGGGATTTCATTATAAATGGTGAGACTCTGGAGAGTACTGAAGATCAGAGGGACCTTGGTGTACCTATCCACAAACCCTCGAGGTCACAATGCAGATAGGTATGCTGGTTAAGATGGCAAGTAGAAGACTTGCCTTCAGTAGCCAAAGCATGGAATACAAGAGCAGGGGCATTATGCTGAAGCTGTATAAAACGCTGGCTAGGCAATAACTGGAATACAACAGCATACAGTTCTGGTTACATGATTGGAAGGATGTGCTTGCTCTGGTGAGGAAGCAGAGGAGATTCACCAGGATGTTGCTGAGCTATGCTCTAAATTCTGAGCTATGATGAATGATTGGACAGTTTAGGGTTATATTCCTTAGAGCAGGAAAGGTTTAGAAGACCCGATAGAGGTTTATAAGATTATCAAGGTCAGAGATAAGATGGTTAGAGAGATACTTTTTCTGTGAGTGGGGGAGGGTTGAGGGGGGGAGCGAGGGGCGTGCAGTAAGCAGGGGACATGTATTAATGTAAGAGGGAGAAGACTAGTAGGGGAGTTGAGGAAGAACTCTTTTTAACTCAGAGGCTGCTGGGAGTTTGGAATGTGCTAATCTGAAAGATGGTGATTCAAAACGTTTGAAACATTTAAGCAGTAGTTCGATATTCACTTAGATGAGTCCAATGCCTTCCTTCTCTGTTGCAAAGATTATGAATCTATGACTTTCAGTGAAGCCAAGGGGAAGTGGAATAGTAGGAAAGATATTCCCCCTTTTTAATAATCAGCTGTCGTGTTTATGTAAGATTTTAAAAGTTTTAAGTGTTTTAATCGAACGAGTGAGAGAATGACTGGATGTGTTGGGTTGGCATTTGGCTTGGATATGTGTGGAGATTCTCAGGTAGGGTTACAATGGTGTGTGTCGGGTAAGTATCATGTGATAGGCCCAAGAGTTTGAGGCATTTTCATAGCATCCCAGACATCGCAAATCTGCCCATCAGAAGTTTATACTTCCTGGACAATTGTTGTACCAAGAGGATGATTTCAGAACTTCCAATGGGTCCCAATGTGCCACAGCAGTGGACATCTCAACATAAACTGCTGTTGGTATTGGATGATCTGGTGTCTTAAAAATCTTTCCAATAATTCAGATCACGTGTATTACCAAAGCTACAGAAAAATTGACTCAATTTACCATTTTTAAGTTTTAACAAGCACTAATTCTCCGGGTTCAATCAGCTGAGCATTAGAACTAAGTTATAGTGCTACTTCTTCATTCAATGTGTAACATGTGTGGTCAAAATACCATGTGATAAATGGTTATACCATGTTCATGAAGTCAGAATGAAAATGAAACTATGAGCCAGAAGCAAAAGATAAAGGTCGGACAGATGTGGCCTGGTGCTGGTAATAGTTACTCTCAACAGCTGCATACATAAAGAGCAACATGCAAACATCTCATCTACATATCTACAAGAACTTACGTACAAGAATGTAAGTAGCATCCTCACATTTCCCCTGTGTATCTGACGACTCTTGATCTGTCACTACAATTCTGGCATTCTTCAAAGTACTCTAAATAAAAACCGAAAGAATTGTAGATGTTGGAAATCAGAAGCAAAAACAGAAATTACTGGAAAAGCTCAGCAGATCTGGAGGCATCTCTGGAAAGAAGTCAGAGTTAATGTTTCTGGTCCAGTGACTCTTCTTCAGTTCTTCAGGCATTCTTCAGAACTGAAGAATGGTCACTGGAGCTGTAACATTACTTCTGATTTTTCTCCAAAGATGTTGACAGATCTGCTGAGCTTTTCCAGCAATTTCTGTTTTTGTTTCAAAGTATTCTAATCCTACACCAAAACCTACCCTATTCAATGAAAATTTAATTACTAAATGTAATAAAAATAGGAAACAGATAGACTGACAGTATCTGGACAGAGAAGTCATCTTTCATCAGAGTCACCCTTATTCATCAAAGTCACCCTCATTATTATCCATATCTGGCTCCTTCTCCATATTTACTGCCAAGTTTGCTGATTTTCTTTCCCACAATTTTCTGTTTTTGTTTCAAACTTCCAACAGTTTTTACCTCAGTTCAAAATAAAGTTGAAATTTTAAAGAAAATATATTTTAAATTAAAAATAGAAAAGAAAGTGAATCTACACTATAGTATTATGTGCAGAAAATCCTTAACATTCTTCTGTAATGTAATCTGTGATGGAAGTCCCCCTTTATACAATTTCCTTCCCTCAGTGTAAAACATTATGCACAATAATTTCTTATACAGAACCATTTAGAAATAAAAAAAACAAAAATGATGGAAATACTCAGCAACTCTAGCAGCATCTCTGGACGTAGAAGCCAAGTTAATGTTTTGAGTCCAATATGACTCTGCTTCAGAATTGAAAGAAAATAGAAAACATTTTCAGCACACTTTGATTCCTTAGGGTGTAAAGGGTAATGGCAGAGCTTCAGGCCATTTTAAACCAGTTTCCCGACAGACTTTTTCAAGGGTATTTTTTAGGGTCTACAGTAGTACTACCAGGGAGAAGGGTGGCGGGGTTTAGTGAGGGAGCTTGGCGGAAGAAGATATTTGGCTTAGAGAGTAACATGACCTCGTGCCCAGTGCGGCAAGTGGCAGTAAAATGTTGAGTTGCTGCCGAATTTAGTAGCAGTAAAACTGCATGGGGAGCCAAAATGATAGATTTGTGGTCTAAAACAACAGGGTTGGATTCTTCTAAGATGACAGCAGTGGCAGCAACAGCACGCAGACAACCAGGCATTCCTCTAACAATGGGAGGCAGCTGAACCGAATAATATACTACCGGTCACTTGAGTTCACCATGTTCTTGAGTCAGTATGCCATTTGCAAACCCTTCCTTTTCACTAACATAGAGTGCAAAAAGCTTGTTGTAATCTGGAATACCCAGGGCAGGGGCTTGCGTCAGCACAGTCTTAAGCTCGGCCAAGGCTCTGTGACATTCTTCAGTCCATTCAATTTCATTGGGATGTCCCCGCAAGGTAGTCTGCTGAAGGATGGCGTCCATGCATCAGTACTCAGGCATCCATTGCCTGCAATAATTAACCATACCAAGAAAGAATAACATCTCTTTCTGTGTACTGGGCAAGGGGGCTTTCAGCACTGCTGTGACCCATTCAGGACCCAACTGATGTGTGCCGTTCTCCAAAATAAAGCCTAAGTACCATACAGAAGGCTGACAGAGCTGCAGTTTCGAGGCGGAGACATGGTGTCCTTTAATCGCCAAGTGAGAGAGTAAAGCAACTGAGTTTTTTTCACAGCTGACATAGTCAATAGAGGCGATTAATAAATCGTCGGCATATTGTAGTACCATACTGTTACAGGGCAGAAAGAGTTCGAGAAGGTCTGCACTGACAGCGGCAGCCTAGACGGCCAGGTTCTCAGAATAGCCTTGGGGAAGCCGGGTCCACATAAACTCTCTGCCACTGTAAGTAAATGCAAGAAGTTCTTGGCTATCCTCATGCAGAGAAATAGAAAATAAGGTGGGCAAATTATTGGAAAGTGCTCTGAGAGATAGGATTTATGATCACTTGGAAAGGCACAGTTTGATTCGTGATACTCAGCATGGATTTGTGAGGGGTAGATCATGCCTCACAAACCTTACTGAATTCTTTGAAGAGGTGACCAAACATGTGGATGAAGGTGGAGCAGTGGATGTGGTATACATGGATTTAAGTAAGGCATTTGATAAGGTTCCCCATGGTAGGCTCATGCAGAAGGTAAGGAGGCATGGGATAGGGGGAAATGGATTCAGAATTGGCTGACCCTTAGAAGACAAAGGGTGGTAGTGGACGGAAAATATTCAACATGGTGCTCAGTTACAAGTGGTGTACCACAAGGATCTGTTCTGGGTCCTCTTCTATTTGTGATTTTTGTAATTGATTTGGATGAAGGAGTGGAACAGTGGATTAGCAAGTTCATGGACGATACGATGGTGGGTCATGTTGTGGACAGTGCGGAGGGCTGTTCTAGGTTATAAAGGGACATTGATAGAATGCAGAGCTGGGCTGAGAAGTGGCAGATGGAATTTAACCCTGAAAAGTGTGAGGTGACTCATTTTGGAAGGACAAACTTGAAAGCAGAATACAGGGTTAATGGAAAGATTCTTGGCAGTGTGGAGGAGCAGAAGGATCTTGGCGTTCATGTTCACAGTTCCCTGAGAGCTGCCACCCAGGTGGATAGAGTTGTTAAGAAGGTGTATGGTGTGTTAGCTTTCATCAATAGAGGGATTGAGTTCAAGAGCCGTGAAGTTATGCTTCAGCTATACAAAAGCCTGGTTTGGCCACATCTGGAGTATTGTGTCCAGTTCTGGTCACCTCATTACAGGAAAGATGTGGAAGCGTTAGAAAAGGTGCAGAGGAGATTTACCAGGATGTTGCCTGGAATGGAGGGAAGGTCTTACGAGGAAAGGTAGAGAGAGCTAGGGCTTTTCTCTTTAGAACGACAAAGGATGAGAGGTGACTTGATGGAGGTGTACAAAATGATCAGAGGTATAGATAGAGTCGACAGCCAGAGATGTTTTCCTCGGGTGGAGGTGGCTTTTACGAGGGGACATAGTTTTAAAGTGAAAGGAGGTAGATATCGGGGAGACGTCAGAGGTAGGTTCTTTACTCAGAGAGTGGTAGGGGCGTGGAATGCATTGCCAGAGAGGGTAGTGGAGTCGGCCTCATTAGGGGCATTTAAGCGACTATTAGATAGGCATATGGATGATCGTATAAGGTAGCGATGGAGGTTAGATAGACCTTAGGTTTAGGGTAAAAGTTCGGCACAACATCGTGGGCCGAAGGGCCTGTACTGTGCTGTACTGTTCTATGTTCTAAGGATGAGCAGAGGTCAATTACTGTGTAGCAAGTCGAATCGGGGGTAAGGAGGACAAAATAACATTGGTGTCAGAGACCACGGGAGTGACAGGCAGCACAATCTGATTGATGGCACATAGGTCTTGGATTAAACGCCACTCGCTCTTCCTACCAGGTTTAGGAATAGGCAAAATGGGGGTGTTACAGTGACTTTGGGCCGGGCGCAAAACACCTCAGGACTGGATTCCCAAGTATCCTTAAACCTAGCAATGAAGTCTGTCAGCTTCTCCCCCTTTTTCTGAATGCAATGGGTCATCTCACTAAAATCACTGTAAAGCCTACCTCCATTAGTGATGGCATCTTTAACACAAGTCCAGAGCCAGGTACCTCTACTCTCGTTTCCCTGATACTGAAGGTCATCATTAGGGGCCCAGTCACCCTCGAGCCCCGGTGGGACAGCAAACGAATCTTTAACAGCTGGACAGGAAGTGCCATACGCAACCGTCAACAGTAACAGCACATCACCGGGCAGGGGTAATAAATCTGTACTAACCAATTATGAAATGGGATGGGTTTTTTTTAGGAGGTTCGGGGCTTCATTTATCATACTTTGGATCTCCGAGGGGCTCCTGGGCGTAATACAGGAACTTTCCCTACCATTATGCGGGGGTATTGTTCAACCATACTACTAACGGGTTCCTTAGGAACACTTTTGGGGGTATCCTCCCGTTCGGCTGCCCGACGCTTTCTGGTCTGGACCCCGACTGTGTTCGAAGAAGTGACCTGAGGTGGGCTAGACAGTGGGTCCTTCTTATAGTGGGGAGGACGGTCCTTAAGGGCAGCTGCCAAGAGAATATCATCCATAACCTGATCCTTGCTTTCTTTAAACTGTTCTAACTTTGGATACATTCCCGTGGCAGGAACACTAGGCTTAATATTCTTTCCATCACCAGTAGCCTTATCTTTTTAGGCTTTCGGGGTTGATGGCACCTGGCCACTTCCAACCATTTATCAAAACAAGTAATCATATAGTTTTAATCCCAGTTTGGGTCTCCGTTCTCACTTTTCCAAAACTGTATCTTTTTCAAATCAACCATCCGTACAAATCACAAGAGAACATAACAGAGTACCTGCTGTCTCCTGTTTCCAGCCAAACCTTATGGGCAGGTGATCCAGAAGGAACCAGCGGGTCCCCAAGCAGCTTGCTGTTTCTGGATTTCCTGAATCCTCCTTGAAGTTGCCTTTTTCAGTTTCACAGGAAACTCTTTTGCCTCGGGTCTCTTGGCTTTCTTGCTTGTTTGGCTACCCATTATTTAACAAGTCCCACTTACCAAGCGATCAAACTCTAAATTTAAATGAGTGTTAACAATTTATAATTATGTATCTTAATGCTATAGTTTCTTATACATTAATCTTACAAACTAATTCACCCTTCTCCAGCCCC